ACAATGAAAATGTGACTACGGCAGTGCCTATGGTGAGAAATGGTGCAGTCCATGTCTGGCAGGAGACCGGAGTCAATAGTTCGTTTTATGTTGGCAGGAATCTGGTGTCAGTCGCCATAAAGATGTTTTCACATTTAATTTTCTTCAGAAAGGAATGTTATACGTTTTATAGTTTCAGTGCAATTTGCAATAAATTGTCCTACTGCTCAACTGTATTCTATTTTCTATAATAATATCCCAGATTTTTATTTCAAAGGGCTAGGAACAGTATGGTTCATTCTTACAACCTTCAACTTTCAAATTTCCTGATAGATAAAAACCATTCACATTAACAAACAAGAAATATCACAGTTATTCCCTTTGTTTATTATTCAATAATTGAACACAGTGAAGCCTCACTGAATTTGTTTCAGTGTGTTAGTTAACTGTCCTGGTGGAAGTATGTAAAAGTCTTTCCTTCTAAGATGGTCTCCAAAACATCATTCATACCACTTAAAGATTTCTGATGTTCGCACATACCAGCAATGGACAACTTTGCATGCCCATTTCTTGTTCCTATACTGCAGTGAATTATCTTGTTCCAAACTTCAAATCTTCAATTTAGTAAATACAGGAATAAGTAAGGGAGTATCTCAGATATTCAATAGGTGAGTTGGAAACTAACAGCAAAAATAAAAACATCAGAGAGCATAAGTGAATTTAAGAATGCGTACACATTTGTTCATGGACGAGAATGGGGATCTGCTCGCTGACTTACATGGCATCGTAGACAGATGGAAACATTACTTAAGTAAGTTACTAAATGTTCATGTAGCTAACCAATTTAAAGAGCCTAAAGTACATACAGCAGAGCCCTTCATCTTGGAATTGAGCCTAAAGGAAGCTCATTCGCCCTTTTGGAAATTAAAAGTTATAAATCTCCAAGTATCGACTCAACTCCGGCAGAACTAATCCATGCAGGTGGTAGGAAAATGCACTCAGATATATAAGCTTATAGTCTCAATTTGGAACGAGAAAGTTACTACCACAACAGTAGAAAGAATCAATTGTTGTCCCTATCCACAAAAAGAAAAAGGTGACAAAACTGGGTGCAATAATTTCTGAGGTATCTATCTTCTGTCAACATCATCAAAATTTTATCGAATATACGGTTAACACCATTTATGAATGCGACCATCAAGGACGATCAATGTGAATTCTGCCGTAATAGGTCAACTATTGATGAGATCTTTTGCATTCAACAAATGTCAGAGAACGATATTTGGACCTCAGAAGGATTAAAGAAGTTGGGAATGAAGAAATTTACATAACAAGGAGTTGGAGGTACTTCAGTATAGTGAATGGCTACAAACTGGATGACCGGAGTTCGATCCTGGCAGGGGCAGAGGAATTTTCCTCTAGCCTCTGCATCCAGACTAGCTCTGAGGCCCACCCAGTCTCCTATCCAATGGATACCGGGGTCCTTTCCTGGGGGTAAAACACGGCCAGGGCGTGTAGCTGACCACTCACCCCCATCTAATGCCCAGGTCAAGAATGAGTGGGAGCTATACCTCCTCTCCCCCCAAACTGCCTACATGGCTTATAATGGGGCAGCTGTACTTTACTTTTGCATAACGAGTAGCTGCGTGAATTGTATAGGTCCTCTTGCATAGTGAGCATAGTGAAATCATGGAGGATCCGATGCACTAAACATGTAACAAGCATGGTGGGAAGTAAGGCATGCATACAGAGTTTCGGTGGGGAATCCTTATGGAAAATGACTACTGGTCAGACCAAGAGGAGACGGGAGATGATATGAAGGTGGATCTTAGGGAGGTGGGCTGTGAGGATGGCAAATGAATGGAGTTCGTTCAGGATTGAGTCAAGTGGCAGGTTTTAGCGTTGTTGGTGTTGGACCTGCAGGTTCTGTTACTACAGAGTTAGTCAGTTAGTTATATACGTTTGTTTAATGTTTACATCCACAATACTCCTGGTAGCAATATAAAGCAAAGATGTAAACCACTCATTTTCTTTACAGAGTCATAACTAAAAATTGCTACACAATATCAGTGGTGATAAATGAATAAGTTTTCACAGCATTCAGACCACACAGAAGCTGATTTTTGTAAAAATAAAGCTATGTAAGAAAACCAGTAGGAAAGAAACACACTATGAAAATTGGGGTAACAACATGCAACATAAATGGTGAAAGACAATCACAAAAAATGTCTACAAACATTTTTAAATTAAATATGAAATAGGAATTTTAGTCAATAATTCTTCTGGAACAACACTTCTGACCAACGAATAAGAGGTATATAGCTACATAATGGCAGATATCTGATAGACACAAATTCAGAAACAGAAAAAAAAGGTGGCAGTATAATATGAAGCAGCTCATAACAAAACAGATAACTACTTTCATTACAAGCTTGTACAGTTCACGTTTCCTTGTATATCCTAAATTTATATATCCAAAATATAGCATTCTTTGTACTCACAATCATAACAATGGTTATTTCATATATAAAATTAATGATGAGACTTTCAAAAATAGTTCAGTAAACCACAACAAGATAAAAATAATAACAAAAATGTTAAAAGTATAATAAAATTTGGATAACAAAACCACAATAAATATAAATTAGCCTTCAATTAATGCTCCACAGAATATAAAATAACCTCCAAGTTACAACCAAGAAGGGAAGAAGCCATACTGAATGTCTGTGTATGCTAGTGTACAATGGATCAATAAGTACACCTACCAGCCAGTAAGGTTATGTACCAACTGAACTAAAAGTAGTATGTTAAGTCAGTTGTGTGAATCAGAATAGCAGCAGTGTAACTAATCATACATCACAATACATACATACTAAAACAGTAAACATCACAAGCACTCCACCTTCCTTACAAACATGCCAATCATAAAGTTATATGTGCAAAAGTCTAATTTCTATGTGCCATCACACTTAAAAACAAATAATATCCAATTTCAAAAGTAAAACCATACACATGTTACTTTTGAACAATATAAGCAACAAAAAGCAAGCTCTAAGAAAACACACCACATATTAAAAGTGTTTTGGTGCAAGGATTCAAACTGTGCAGAAGAAATAATGGTTTGCTCATTTGTTTACTTCACTCCTGGGCCAAAATTCATTCTCTAAACACAGGTTAAAATTGCAACTGTTTCACCCCTGCCAAAACACTGCCAATATATAGATTGCACCATAATTCTACTAAGCAGCTTTTCTACAACACAGCTATGATGGAGCAAACATACCGGGTATGGGAGCAACACTTCTCGGTTTTCATCCATGTTGGTGATTTCGAATGTTGGTGGCTG